CTTCGAGTGTGTGCCGGAAGTGACGAATGGCTAGATAAATGGCCAGCTGTTCTCTGTAGAAGGTGATGTAGCGGGATTCCGTTACCATTGACTACCAACATGTTGTTGAAGGACGACTCCTACTGCGACACGTGGGGCGTCAATCGTAATATATAGGGCTGCGGTCGATTCAGAATGTGCAGTAGTTGACCAAACCATAAAGTTGACGGAGATGCTTGAAAGAAATCGGAGCTGGGAAGTTGTTAATTGCCTGCATCTTATCAGGAAGGACTTCGATACCAGATGATGAAATGAGGTTGCCTAGGAGTTCTACCGTTGATTTGCTGAGTTCAAGCTTAGTCGGGTTGACTGTGACATCGTGTTGGGTCAAGCGCTGGAACAGAGTTCGTAGATGATCGAGATGCTTTTGCTCCGATGAACTGGCTATTAAATATCATCGAGGTAGGAATAAGCGTAGTCTAGGCCAACATTGACATTATGGATAAAGTTTTTGAAGGTTTGTTCGGCGTTGCACGGTCTTAATGGCATTCTTAAACCTTCAAACAAGCCGAAAGGTGTGATAACAGCTGTTTTAGGAATGTCATTTTCTTCCACAGATATCTGATGATAGGCGAAAACCAGATCGATCTTGCTGAAGATCTTCTTACCTGTGAGGCATTCGGTAAGGTCCTACATGTGGGGGATAGGATACCTATCTGGGACAGTTAGCCGATTGAGTGCGCGGTAATCATCGCAAGGGCGCCAGTCACCCGACGTCTTGGAGACCATCTGCAGGGGAGAGGACCAAGGGCTGTCGGAAGGGCGGATTATTCCAAGTTCAAGCATGTGCCCAAACTCTGCCCTAGCTACCTTTAGTCTGTCGGGCGATAGTCGGCGTGGACGGCACGAGACGGGTGGGCCATTGGTCCGCATGTGGCACGTAACTTTGGATGCCACGGGCAAAGCTGCGTTCATTGGCTGAACAAGCTTGGAATACTGAGAAAAGAGGTTGGCGTAGTCTGGCAAGATCTGAGGAAAGGCGTAGACCGGTGTTATAGATGCCATATCGGCAGTGATGCTACGTACACTGAGTTTCATTGCAGTGTCGACTGTCTTCTGGCATTTCACATTGACCAAGAGGTCGAAGTGCCTAAGAAAGTCAACGTCGATGATGGCAAAGGCGACTGCACCAACAGTGAATACTCAGCGGAACGTGCGCCGAAGACCTAGGTCCAGTGTAAGCGACCGATTACCGTAGGTGGCTATTAGCGTGCCATTGGCGACACTTAAGCTTGTCAACAAAGAAGCGATAGGCTCACCTGGCATAGGGGGAATGACGCTGACTTCCACCCAGGTATCAACTAAGAACTTTGTCTCGGAATCGTAATCCATAATGTAGCTGAGACGGTTTTAAGTTTTACGCACGTTCGTGGCCATTACATGCCGGCGTGGCGGATCATCTGTAGCAGAGTAGCTACATGGCTGTGCGCACTTACGGCCTTTATTACCGAAACGCGAGTGGTAAAAGCAGTAACCTGGTGCATCAGGTTTGGTGTGAAGGGCGATGATCTAGAACGCTTACGATGCTTACGGTTTAAAGTGCGTTCCTCGATTTGGCGCTGAATCGACGCTATCTGCGATGATAATGCGTCTATTGTCGACGGCTGGGTAGTCGCGGGTGTCAGTGTGATTACGCCAGCACAAAGCTGCTTAGGTGCTTTGGTTTTAGTCTCTGGCTGGTGCCAGATCTGCTAGATCTGCAATTGCTATAAGTAGCAGGTCACTACTACAAAGATAGCCTGGGTGCTTTCAGAAAGGCGTTGCGTCCACAGTTTGCGGAGAATCCATACGTTCATGTTTAACGTGCCAATGAGCTGTTGAATTGCGCGCAACAAGGCTGAGGGCATCCTATCTCCTAGTTACAGATCATTAAATAATTGCTGCAGACTACCTTGTCGGAAGACTTGCTTAGCTGAATAATAGCCTGTTTAAGAGTGTCGTATTTCATTACAAGAGGAGGACAAAATATGATGTCTCTCACCAGCGAGGATATACTTTGAGGAAGGCCAGATATTAGCTGATTATACGTGGCGAAATCAGAAGGAATTCTACAAATGTAAAAAATGGATTCTAGGTACAAAAACATAACGAAGGGATCATTCTCTCAAAAAGGTGGAGGGGCTAACACAACTGTCTTGACCACGACAGGCTCTACGGCGCTAGCCGCGTATGGAAATGAATTATCCTCTGTATACTTAATTGCGAAAAGCGTATAAAAATGTGGTAGGTGGGAAAACAATATGAGCACAAGAAATGAATCACAGTATTACTGGAACGAGCTCACCAGAATAAAAATTCACACTGGCGGGCGGCGTGTTCTGGACCGGGTCACCAATTGTAGTGTGGCGCCTTGGATATTAATGGTTACTGAATGACAAATAAGGGACGTGTCAAATACGGGACGGTATAGGAAGTTAGAGGCGATTGAACCAAACGTGTATTGCGGAGGCTACAAAAATATGGAGCGTATCAACCAGAGTGAGAAATGTGCAGCAAAATACTCACCAAAGCAGTTTGTGTCAGTGGAAGTGCCGTCAGTAAAACAAGTGGACCTTTAGAAGGTTAAAACAACGGTAAAATCCAACATTGCGAAATACTGAAAGCGCGTTTTTCGGTACGTTACAGGACTTTCTATACGGTAATGCAACTTAAAATATGGTGGCCAAATTTTCTGATCGACATCGGAAAGGAAAAGGGATTGGAATAGTAACATTACATTGCTCAGCAAGTGCATGAAAAGGAACAACAAACTCGACCACTGCGCTCACAATGCTTAATGTAGCGTAGAGAGAAGAGCAATATTCCGTGCATCAGCGCTTGCGTATCCTTTCACAATACAACGGTCAGTTTGTTTTAGCAGCCTTGTAACTGGGACACCGGGTTCTCAGTAGATAGTGTTTTAGCAGGATGTAGAACACGTTTTAATTAAATGGGTAATTCCTATTCACACCAGCTTTGTTAAGCTCTGCAGAGATCTTCAACCGGTCTAACCAATCTCTTCACTGGGGATATTACCGCATTGTTTCTCTTTTGTTACTAGTGTAAAGAAGGTATAGCGAACGTGCAACCTTTAAGTTTTCATCATTTCGCGACACTGGACTTTTTCTTGTTTGCATTTTCTGACAGTCCAGTTGTTTTACTGGAGTTACTTGGCTTTCACTTCGATTTTCCTGCAAGTCGTGCGGTTCATCAAGTACTCCTTCGCTAATTGACTTCCAGTTCTTTGTAGTTCGCACAACACACATGGGGTTCGACAACATTTCACTTCCGTATACTCGGTATCCTTGGTTGATCTTGCTGATAATTGTCGCTACCAGTAACTGAGTTCGTCTCTACAAATTTGCTAATAGTTCTCACTCAGTCAGTAGTCAAAGCTTAGGTTACAAAAGACACACTACTCAACCCTCCACTTGTCAACTGAGCAGTCATTAACAAACGCCTGGGTGGGATGCGGTTTATTCCTAAGACAATACTTGTAATGGATATAAGCGACAGTTGTATGAAAGCACACCGCGCCGGTACTTCGCTGCCATGCAACTGCTACCGGTCACACATGGACAGATTTCACTTCTTGGTCATTCGTACTAACGCGGATTAGAACCGGTGACCTCCGCATTACAATACAGGCATGTAATCCTGTCGGTCACTGGTAGACTTGTAATGGCTACGTAGTTGGCACGCCATCATCCACGGATCTCGTAGAATCCGATTATTCTACAGCTTTGAGTGGAGACCAAAGCGTTAGCTTTCATGAGGCACACGTAGAGCTAGGGGAGGTACTAAGCAATAATAAAAGCCAAATGTTACATGGTGAAAGGGCACTTCCTCATCCGTTTACACAATGACTGTGCTTCTCGGCTGGTGCTTCTGATATGTAGACGTCAAAAATAACGGACTTACCAGACAGGTGCTGGCAATGTTCATATATTTTACGTAGCAACCGGTAATGGAACAATGTACAGTGCTTTATCACGGGTAAACAAAAGCAGGTATTTGACAAGTCCCCTATGAAGATTGCGGTGAAAACTAAATGATCAAAAGTTATGCGAGTCATCTTAGACGTCTGTCTAGTTAAATGCGCTGCTGAATAACGCTAATGTAAAATGAGAATCGGATGCAAGCATACAACACACGGTGGGCAGTTATAGCTGACGTATTCTATGAGAAAAATCAAAAGAATCGCTCACTCATGTAGTATTTCCTTGGGTCCCTATGACATATAACCGGTATGAGGACATGATTAAGATATACCACAGTAGCACGGGTCAGGTATCGAACTGAGGGGAGCCAACGACAATAGCTAATCGTTTTTTTTGAAGGCATGCAAAGTGGGGGAGGTGACAACTACGTCTTGGTGGGAGTTCCGTGGTTGGATAACCCGAAGAGAAAAGTGATTCTGTCAGCATTTTAAACGGATATGTTAATCGCTCAGTTTCAGGCAGTTACCTATGAGGTTGATGTTGTGGCTGAGTTTCAGCAAGTGGCGGCACACGTGATTGGGGTCACTCAATATTTGGTACTCTGATAAGGGATCTCTGCGTGACATTCGGTAGCGTCCACTGAAAACTCTATAACTTCAGCCATTTAATAGCTGAGCACACTGATAAATGACGTTAACCTGATGTGCTCAGTAACCTGGACCTAATGCCAGCAGACACCTTTGTAGGCTACCGCTACTAGCAGCTTTCGTGTATTTTGATCTGGTTATCACACAGAACAGTTACGATTAATCTCCAAATTACTAGTGAATTGTTGGATATTTTGTCAAGCATACTCAATCAGCAATTCACAATTACCAGTTATCGCGCAAGGGGAGTTAATGCCCTGCACATTATATTATCATTTAACCCCTCCTTAGGACTTCGAGTGGTAACAAGGTAATACACACTGCTTGCTGAATTTTTCCCCACTCATCGTTTAGTAGTCTTGTATATTCAATAAGTTCGTTTTTATTCTCTGTCGTCCATGAATCAGGCTGACAATCCTCACCAAATCATGCCAACTTGCAATCATAACGAATATTGTTTATTCACTAATGACCCGAAGGAACCACGAGCGCTTTTTTGTCAAAAATACGCATCCAACTGTGTTGCCTGCATCACCGAGTTAATTTGTGACTTTGATTTACGAACCGAGGAGAAAGAGGTCTTCGTGGCGTACACAGTGAAGAATTTCCACAACAAGCATACAACTGGCATTCCCCCAAAGACTACTGTACAAATTTTGACCAAAGCACTGGAAATTTTCACGAGTTAGCTATCATCTATGGGTTGTAACAAATTTTCAGTGGAATTGGATGTCGATTCCTTCAGGCTGGTCGACTGCATACTTTCAGGTAATTTTCTGCTTATCACCACAAACCAATGAATTAGTCGTCGAAGCATTTTTGAGTTTGCTACCCAGAGATGAACACATTTATCTCGCTGCGATTCGTCCAGCCCTGAAACTGGTATACTTCAGAGTGGTTATCTTTCAAACAGAACATTTAGCTTTTACTGAAGGATATTCGTGATCAATTTGTTCTCAATTTGTTCTCCCTAATGTGCCTTTTTGCATATTGCGCGGAGCAGGAGTGGAGGCAGTTACCTGGTAACAACTTCTTGGATCCACACTAAACCAGTTTCATATTCCAGGGCTCATAATGAAGACCGCAGAAAAGTATATGTCTTCCGAACAAGAAACAATAGTTGGTCTTTGTCTGTACTGCCTCGGTTTATGCCTCCGTATCACATCCATTACCGAGGACCATGAGTTATCTTGTGCAGAGAATATCATGGGCGCTATGTTTAGGCTAAAAAGAAGCGATCCTGTGGTACTGAACGGCTTGAGTAAGTTCAACTACTAGCTACCTCAATTTTCCTTTCGTCTACAGGTTGCCTGTGCTACATAATCACCAAGTCGCGCAACCCCACATTACTCACATCGTCCAAACTTTTCCCTGGAGTTATGCGTTCACTTCTGAATTCTAACAAATCAACCACTCAAAGCGAAGTTTTGACTTTATTGAGGATAGTTCTAAGGAGTGGCAGCCTTTGTACAGTTGTTAAACACTTCAGTAATGCGGGTTTGATCGGTAAGTCACCCTACCATATGATGGTTTTAGAACTTCTCTATGACATGATTGAGCCCGGAAAACCTTTCTTGTGGTAATTATTACGTCGAACGTACTTTACGATATTAGTGACCTGCTGGAATGCATAGAGTTAGTGAATGCGGATGAAACGCTTTTCTCTTCTACTCTGATTCCACAAGGTAGGCTTGTAAGCAATGACCGCATATCAGCCTTGCCACGGTTATTATCGACTTTGGAATATCTGTTGGACAATAAAAAGCAACAAGCAATAAAATATATCAAACTGTTATCCACTTTTCTGTTAAAGTATCAAGCGTCGTTCATGAGCAATTATTCAGCGGCTTAGGTACCACGGGGCCATGGATCTGATACTCTCCATGTCTGTACAAGACCGCCTTCTGTCAGTTGTCATTAGGTTACTGAGTTCAAGCAGTGCAAGCTACTACCACATTGGTCTAGTGAGCATCTGTCATGCACTCAGGTAAACAGAAGGACTCCTCCAACTCTATTCTGAGACAACAGGTCTCGCAGACTTGTTTTTCACACCTCTTCCCATAATTTAGCAAAACTCATTGAAGCTGCTGACAAGGGATCTAATGGTCATATTTCATCAAGGACTACTGCGGATGCGACTGGCCTGGAGCTACTTTCTTTACATGTGAACTTTGTTTTTCTGATTCACAAGTAAGTTTCACTTGCAACCACAGCATGCAACAGGCATTTAGATGAAAGGCTGTCTAGAGATACCCTCCAAGATGAAACTGAGATTCAAATGCTAGGAGATGTATTGATGAAAGGTTTCTTTGGGAAATACCTGGAAACGTTTTCGGTTTGCTCAAGTATAATGAGGATTACTCCTTAGAGCTACATTCATCAAGGCAACCCCGGAGAAAATATAATTGAATCGTTCCAATCCCTTTTGGTACTATACGTCAGAAAAGCTACACATTCACAACTTTTAATCGACGGCTGTCACTCTTACTGTGTTCCGGATACGGTAGAAATTTCGGAGCGATTGACGCAACTTGAAGGGGAGAAAACCTCACAATGTTTTGCGTGCATCCTACCCATCTTTCTGCGAATATGCATCACTTTGCACAAACATATTAACCTAAGAAAATTGCAAGACACAGTGCCTTTTGGATGTGTATCCGAAGAACCCTCGGACAAGCATCTGTACCCCGTTTGCCAACAGGATGGCGCTGGCAAATTGCAAAGTGAATCAGTGAGCTTTTCACAGCTGATCGCCTTGCTGGTTGGGGGCGAGGCTATGCGATGCTTCAGCTCTGATGCAAATCTGAAGACGGCTCTGTCTTCCTGCTTTGAAGATCGTACCGAAATACTGCAGTCTCTTGCAATACTTAAGACTGGTTCGGAGTACCTGGACGGTGAGTTTCGTTGAGATTCTTTCCTCCGTCACAAACTAATTACCGCATGCGAGCTTTTGCTACATAAAACATTGATCCTTTTTACTGTGTCTTACCGGCTGACTATTAAACGCTTCGGATTCCTTAACGTGAGTAACGCGTCACGAGAGTTACATACCTTAAACTCGCGATTACTTGGCGCAAGGTTTGTGTTGTGTCAAAAACCAATAACTGCAATTTGTCTAACATCGGTAGCTAACATGAAATCGGCCAATATTGTTTTGAGGGTAGCTGATGGCTCCGATAAAGGGAAGAGATGTGACGCAGGTGGTCAGGTGTCAGGAGGACAATTAAGCACTCCTCATTCCAAATGGCCGAGATGGCGTGGCGGGAAACAAGAGATTAGCAGTATGGTTACAGAGAAGAGGATGCGGACTGCCCAAGACCAAAGTGAACCAACAGCACCCCATTCAAAGAACATGGGCTGATGGCACGGGTCACACGGGAAGCTGACAAGCTGAGTGAACAGAAGATGAATCAGATGCTGTTTAAGCGAATTGCACGTGGATTGTACTGTTCAAACGGACGGCACATACTCGGAGCGCCCTAAGGTGAACGATACTAAACGTGGCACTGGAAATGGTAGGGCCGGATCGGACTAAGATTTGCGGTTGTGCGTAAAGATATTTGGTGTAGAAAACATCAGTGACAAACGGTCCGTGGAAATCCGCCACAATTGAATAGCGTCTCAACTTTATATAGGTATGTACGGTTAGTCTGATGGAAGAAGGCCGATTAGCGTTCATTTACCTACCGTGACTACCATATGGCGAATGCCAGTCATGTACGGTTGTTGTCCCCAACATCCAATAGCCATCCAATGCTTAGAAAAATTCGCAACAGGCTACTGCGCGTTCAGAGACATGCATTTTTCTCTCACCTGAGTGGTGCGGACGTATGGAATTCTCAGTAGACGAGTGATTTAGTACGGGGCTCAGCTGAGGAAAAGCCTAACCTCTAAAGACACACCGACATGCGGCTGTTGATCAGTGAGTGAGCCACAACGTGTTTCCGGCTGTCAGCTAACTTCGCGCTAATTGCTGAAAGTTATGGCAAAACGTAGGCGTTGGAGCGATTGATGGTTATCACTGTGTGTCTCGCTGGCTACGCAGCGGTCCGCCTAAGCAAACAAAACCGCCACGTGAATGTGCGCACGTAATGGCAGCTCAGCTGAGGACGAGGTTAGGCATTACAACTTGTCAATATTATTGAATCAGAGGTAACGGAGCACGAGCAGACAATGCAGTCGGGATCACGTTGTGGTGGATTAAAGGTAGATACTACTGCGCCGGGTATAAGTAGTGTGGTGGTGCAAGATGACACACCAACAGCGAGCCCTGCCGAATTCCCCAAAGTTGAAGATGACATCAGGATTACAGTTCCATGTGCAAGAGGAGAAAACACACAGGCAAGCACCAGTTGGGGAACGCTTACTGGAAATCAAGCAGATGAGCGGACGCCTCCAAAGTATGAACGAACACACCTAGTGTAAGCCACTTTAACAATAAACAAGTTACCGCCTGCCCCTTGGGTTCTAACATTTGGTGCCGTGACCTCGCGAGTCATGAAGATTCCCTGGCCGGAACCATTTGAAGACGGGGACGTGAGGGCGTTTTTGGAGGATTTCGAGGAGGTGGCAGAGGCGGTAGGACTGAAGGCGGACCGGGCGAAGATGGCGGCCCTGCGGAGTCTCCTCAAGGTCGGGGCGGAGGCGGTTCTGGAGGCGGCGCGAAGAGGTCCGGTCAAGTTGGAGTGGACCGCCGAGAAGGAAGCGTTGCTGTCTGGCCTGGACACGCCACCGGACCGCCAGGAGGCGATGCGATGGTTCACGGCGCCGCGGCTTGGTGCTGGGAGAGGTCCCCTCGTGTTTGCGGTGCACCTCAGGAGCTTGTTGGACCGCGCCTTGCCGGGGTTGGATGGGCAGTCAAAGACGCAGTTGCTGGTGGATCAGTTTTTAGCCGGCCTCCCACAGCCAACAGCGGAGCGCGTTCCGATTGCGAATGCTACTCGGAAGATGTAATTGGAGGAGTTGGCGCAAGTCACTCGAGACCTGGGCGACGCACCACTAGCTGCGCTGAAGGAAGAGCCTCATAAGAATGTGGAACGGATGGACAAATTGGAACGGATGATGGAACAGCTTACGGAAGACATCAATGGGCTTCGCGTTCAGCGTTATCGGGTGCGCACAAAGGGATGTTGCTCCATCTGCGGGAAACCGGGGCACTGGAGGAGACAATGTCCGCAGAGGCGTGGTGTTACTCGGGTGTCGAATAAACGTGTGCAACCTTATTTTTCTTTTCGGATCGAGGATTGTGTACTTGGGGCGTTGAGCAGGAGTGCGGTTGAAGCAATGGTGGAAGTAGACGGAACGATGGAAAGGTGTCTGATCGATACGGGTGCCTCGGTGTCACTAATCAATCATCGGCGAGGTGAAAAGCTTCAGTCGTGCTGCACGATCGTAAGAGCGGTTGGCGGTCATTCAGTGGGAATTGATGGGATAGCCGAACACACCGCGGGTATCGGAGGACGAAAGCGAACACACTTCTTTCTCGTGTCACCAGATGCGAAACAAACCATATTGGGAGCAGATTTCCTGGAACTCAATAAAGCTGTCATTGATCTAAAGCGTGGGAAATTGCTAATGGAATGCGGGTCACTACCACTCATTAATCGTAGAGAAATGAGATCTTCGCAGTCGGTCGTTGCTGTGTTACATTTCAGCTCATCTTTGCAGTCGCTGATCAACAAATACCAACCCTTGTTTACGGATGACAGCAGCCAATATGGGTTTTGCGATTGGATCGAGCACACCATCCCGCTAACTCGCCAACCGTATCGGTCCCATGGACCTCGAAGGATACCAATCCACCTGGAGGCTGAGGTGAACAGGCAAGTGCAGGAAATGCTGGACGCGGGCGTGATTGAGGAGACACATAGTCCGTACAAATCTCCTGTGGTCTTAGTGAAGAAGACGAATGGGAAGTACCGATTCTGTGTCGACTTCCGAAGACTAAATGAAATTTCCTTGACTCGCTTCGTTCCCGTTCCATCAGTTGCTGACATTTTTGATCGGCTGCAGCAGTCGAGGATATTCACGGTCCTGGACTTGAGATCAGGATACTGGCAACTGGCAATAAAACAGGAAGATCGAGAGAAGACGGCGTTTGCCGTTGGTGAGAAACAGTACCAGTTTAAGAGGATGCCCTTTGGATTATCAGGAGCCCCGTTTACCTTCTGACGTCTAATGCTGCGATTGCTGAGTGAATTGGAAAACGTGGTTGTGTACGGGGATGATATCGTGGTGTATAACCAATCAGAAGCGGAACATATCCATCATCTCGCGGCAGTTCTGGAACGTATTTAGCAGTCGGGACTTCGTATAAATGGACCGAAGTCCCAGATCGGAAAGACCTGTGTCACCTTACTGGGCCATAAAGTGGGACAAGGCGAACTGAAACGGCTACCTGAGAAGATACTAACGATACAAGGCAGCCCAGTTCCCATCTCGAAACGCACTCTCCGTACATTCCTGGGCCGCGCCGGGTACTACAGCAAATTAGTCAAGGATTTTAACACCTTTCCTCACCCTTGTACAAGCTGTTGAAACAAGATCGGAAATTCATTTGGAATGCAGAAGCTCAACGAGCCTTTTATCAGATTCTACAGGAACTGGGAAGGCAGGAGTTGACCCTGAAATTGCCCATTGCTGGTGAGGTGTTCACGGTAGCCACTGACGCCAGCGATGTCGGGATCGGTGCGGTGTTAAAACAAAACCATGGAAGAGGCGGATACGAATGAGCCCGCGGCGGGCCCGGGCCGGCGGATGCCCCGTGGCCGGCCATGTGGGCCGCGGCGGGAAATGTGCCGGCGAACTTTGGTGACGGGCCTGCGGGAAAACGCAGATATACTCAACTAGATAGTAGAAGAGAATGTCTCGCAAATTTGTCTGGGCGTTAGATAAAGATAATGGTGGTCGGCGTGATGGCGATGGCGGGGGGCCGTGATTGTATCGTCTTATCTCCCTCTTCTAATCCTCCCCTCCCTACTCCTTCTCGAAATCTATGGCGAATGGGCGGGGCCAATTATCTATCATCTCTTATCCGTTCCCCTTGGAGTTCAAGAAAAAAAGAAGAGAACAAGACCAGCGATTTCCCCAACGTCGGAAACAGACCCATAAGACGCGTTGGACGTTGGAGTGGATTAAAAGTCTCTTGCTGCCAAAGAAACCCACCCCCCAGAGGGAAAAGGGGGCTGGGCGAGATGCGCATGGTATTTTGCGCTTACAAGATTAAAGAGTATATATTTTGCACATTATCCCAATTTCACAGTTACAAGAGCACGATAAAACACGTGCGTGCCTGCCGGAGGTGCGACGTGCCGGGAGGAGGGGAAAATCAGACTGGGGTCGGGGGGGAGGCGAGAGGACGGCGGGGCGGGGGGCGGGGGGCGGATTTTTTTGTCAAAACGGCATGATAGATGAGGAGACTTGTTGCCGATGCGTAGCTGTTTTCTCTATTTTTCGGTAATTAAAACGGTATAAAAAAAACCTGTGAATACGTGCGAGCAGGAATCCAGAACGGGTGTGGCCAAAACACAAAAGAGCACCCGAGCAAGCGTAAGGGCGGATGGGTACGGAGAGCGGGCGCGGCGAGTCCGGCAGAAACCTCCTATAGTACCTAACCGCAAGTTGCTCACCCAAGACCAGCACACAAAACCGTGCGAATATTTAACCACGCTGCTTAACTACTGACACTGTTTAAACTTCAACTACCTGGGTCAGAAGGACCCCTCGCTGGGGGCGACAAACTTCCACTAAAAAAACCGACCACAAGACAGCTGGGGGACCGTTGTTTTTGCAAGAAGACCCTGAGTAAAGCGCAAAATGTGAACACGAAGCATGGTGGATTCTTAATTTGGATGGCCATGAGGTAGCAAAACCCTAAGGCAACAAATCAACATGCAACCCTTCTTTTGTCGGTGGCCAGAATTCATTTCGTGGTCCAATGAAACGAAGTACGAAACTAGTAAGTTTCTTGTCACGAGATGGGGCGCGACACGCCTAGGATATGTTCCCCACACCAGGGACCTACGCATCTGCTCCCTGCTGTGGAAGAACAACCGCGCGTATTTTGGCGGATTTGTTCGGTAGGTAATTGGGCCGGGAATGAAAATGGTTGGACGTTGAGAAGTGTGCGTACCAACTTCGTTGTACTTTTGTTTGTTCACAAACATTCATGCCGAACAATGTGCCAGCTTTCAAAGCTCATGAAGAAAACTGATTGTGTGGTGAAACGCAGGGATTGTGTGTTGCCGAGGATGCAAGTGGCAGGCAGCAGCAAGCAAAAAAACCTAGAATGACGATGTCCCGGTCCTCGTCTTCGGTCCTCTCCCGGTCATTTCTCGTAAATTGGAGAAACTATGGGTCGGGGGGGGGGGGTGGGGTTTTTTGGTCGGTCCGGTTTGGTCAGGGGGGGGGGGGGTCGACGTTGATGGGGGGGGTGGGGGGCCGTTGGTTTATTTTCCCCATTGACCCAGTTGACCAGCCAGCGGGCGTTGAAACCAGTTACATTTTATATAATGATGACGGAAGCACAGGCGTTTTTTTCAATATGCGATGATGAGGCGAACAGGCAACCACCCCCTTCCGCTGGGATCAACAAGACAAAACGGGGGCTAGGCACACAACAACCGTTAAAACAGTAATAATAAACCTGGGCATTGCATCCTCATGAAACCACGTACTATATGGAAGCGGCATAAACGGTTAGTCGGCTCAAAATATCGGCACTCAACACAACGGGGAACTCCCTCCTCCAAATGCCATCTTAAATAACATCTTAACACGATATCAGAGAATGAGGCCAACAAGAAAGAGGAAGGGGGTCCCGTGCTGGTCGAAGAGTGAGGAAATTCCGGAACTGGGTTTTGGAAACGCTATGCCTATCGTCTCAAGAAATTGCGTTGCGCCACTATCGAGAAGGAGGACGGGTGGTCCATAAGAGGAGACTCGAGCAACGACCGGGACGACACCAATTGTGAGAATTGGCGGGTTGCGGGGCAGTGTCGTCACTAGGGCGGGGCGGCAATATTGGCGCACCACTTTACACTCTAAGATACCAAGACCAATTTCTGCCTCACTGTCCCATCGTAAGCCACCGCGGACGCGAGCACCGAAAAATTACCACACACGCACCGACCGTCGCCGCAATAAACCACCACCCCCGCAAACAAATGGGCCCTTCCAGGGAAAGAACGTAACAAGTATAACAATCCAAGGAGTTGGGCTGAGCAGCAAAAGGTGGGAGTGAGGACACTATGGTGAGGAAAGAGTGCGCTGTGCCGTGACGCTTGAACTGACTAATGGTCATGTGTAAAGAAGGAACTCCTCAACTTTTAGCTACTCAGACTCCCTGCGCCGCACTGTTGCGTAGGTTTGCCTTTGCTGGCAAGCCGGGCGACTGCTGTTGCTTAACTTACTACTTCTACCTAGAAAACTGTTGCTGACACTGGCCGGCGGGCCATCGCGCAACCAAACAGGGAAGGCGGTGTGTTTCGCAGGCGTACTTGTTGGCCAACAGAAGGAAAAAATCCACAGAAGTCAAACAAAACACCTAATTATTTTCCATGGTCCAGTTGCTGTAGGTATAAAGAAACGGGGCTGGGAGTTGATGTAACTGGTCGAAACAGAAAACACCTCGTCACGCTTCGTGCCTTGCTTACCCTCTATACGGCCTCATTAACGTCTCTACCTTTGGACCGGGCTAGAGTTGGAATGTGGCCGCCACCTATGGTGCCAAACTTTGGGCTCTTGAGGGAAACCACGGTTCTGTTGTCTGGGTGGGGTTTGCCCAACTCGAACTTGTGCGCGTATATCTCTCTCTCTCCGTCCCGAGGAGGGAGAACGTAATTATAAAAAAAGCACAGAGCAATACCGAAAGGGGAACAGACCTAAAGAGCTAGGTCATGGGGACGACAGGAGTGAAAGAGCCGTGAAGAAAGTCGGGTGAAAGAACCGGAATCCCGCCCCTGGACCTGTTCGTGTGGGAGCAGTCCACCGACCGCCATTCATCCCTAGCTGCCCCCCCCCGCACCATGCCGGCTCGCTCGCCCGCGGCTCATCCCTCCCTCTTCGCGGTCCCACCCTGCCATAGCGGCCCCACACACCCCGCAGAAATACCGCACGCGACCCGCACGGCGCCCGCCGCCCTGAGTCCCCCTCCCCTCGCTGTCCGCCCCCCCCTAGCGCCAACCCCCAGCTGCCGCCCGGTCCACCCTTCCCCGCCCAGCTGGCCAGCATCCGACCGCACCCCGTGCGGCACTCCATGCCGTCTTCCTTACCCCCTCACCCGTCATCCCATTCTCCCGCCCCGCCCCGCCGCACATCCTCTCGCCCTCGATGGCCACGTCCCGCTCCCGCCCGCCCGCTACCCCCCCCGGGCCGCGGCGCCCCTCGCCCCGCCGCCCCCCACAGCCCCCCCTCCCTCGCCCCGAGTCCTCACGCCCCAGCCCCCCCAGGCGCCCCACCACCACCCGACCCCGCCCCCTGTGCGGCCACTCCCGCTGCCCCGCCCCCCCGCAGGCCCCGCCAACCTCCTCATACACGGCACCTTAACCTCCCTGTCTAGGCTCCGAAGGGATGGGGGAGGGGGGGGGGGGGGTGAGGGTGGGGCGCTGCAGGATGGGGGCGAAAGTTCCAGACCAGGCGAAGAGTGGAAGGAATAATCGAGTATAGTTCCCAGATTGGATTTCGTAAAACGAGTGAAGTACCGAAACGCAACGGGACTCATCAACGCTATTCCCCCCCCGAGAGCGATATCGGGATCGTCATCATCCCCCATCCCAACCGTAGTCGCGCCCACACTTGCTATCCCTCAACCCCACTAATCCGGCAAGCCCAGCTTGGCGCGGGCCGCGCTTTTGATCCGATCCGATCCCCGCCCCACTTTGCGTATGGCGGCCCAGTGGGGAGGAGGAAACTCCTAGCGAAAGTGGAAAAGGAACCGTAAGAACGGAGGTAATCAATATCGAAATTATCGGATTCGAGGAACATTATCGAAACGCCGGAAAATGTAATATCGGAAGAAATAAATCGACCGCGAGGTGAAAGGGGGGCCCAGTGTATACAATCGCCTCGGCAAAAGGTGTATCGCCGCGGAGAGAGGGTGAATGGGCCCCACAAAGCAGGCGAGCTGAGGGAAGTGGTAAGAACGAATTTGGGAGGAGCAAAACCTACGCTCAGTCGTACAGTGAACAAAGTGGGTTGTGGTCCCCCCGCGGCGGCGGGGGCCCCAATATAATTGGAATAGCCGGGGTCCCGGCCGCCCCCGGCCCGACTTCCCGGCGGTGGTGTCAGAAATACGTTGACTCTTACCTTACCACTCCTACTGGGACGGAAGGCCAGTCTGACGAGGCGAATTCCTTTTGGAAGGGGGAGTGGAGCGTGATGGTGGATTGAAGGTAGATAACTCACTGAACTAGATGCAAAAAATCAGAACACGGGATATAAGCGTAGTGTGGGGCAAGAGCTGACCCACAAAACATAAACATCAGAACCTCCCGAGCACAAACAGCAGCGAGAAAAGCCCTTGCCGACTTCCATTACTTCTCCCTAAGGAAGATGAAGAGGTGACCCCTCAAGGAAATTTTTTTCTGGTGATTTTTCCTTTCCATGGGCACGAGGGAGTAAACAAACAGAGCAACGTTGTAGCAAAACGGGAGGAGGTGAGGCACCAGTTGGGAAACACACCAAGCGTCATGTGAAATCACGGCCTGGGTACAAAACAACGCACACCGGTCACGCGGATGAGCGGGGATGCCTTGCCTTTCGCAAAGTACCTGTATGGGAATCCCCACCGACGATCAAACCACACGGGCAGATGAGCCGGGGGATGAGCCGGAGGGGGGGGGGGAAAGGAGGGGGCGGCGGGAGCGGGGGGGGTCCGCAAGTAAGGGGGCATTATCCCATGTAATTGAAACGTAACACCTCACCAGAACAACTAAACACGACAGACCACCTAGTAATCCAGGGAGGTTAAAAGCCCTTTTAGTAGCACCCCCCCCCCCCCCCCCCCCCCCCCCCCCCCCCCCCCCCCCCCCCCCCCCCCCCCCCCCCCCCCCCCCCCCACCCCCCCCCCCCCCCCCCCCCCCCCGCCCCCCCCCCCCCCCCCCCCCCCCCCCCCCCCCCCCCCCCCCCACCCCCCCCCCCCCCCCCCCCCCCCCCCCCCCCCCCCCCCCCCCCCCCCCCCCCCCCCCCCCCCCCCCCCCCCCCCCCCCCCCCCCCCCCCCCCCCCCCCCCCCCCCCCCCCCCCCCCCCCCCCCCCCCCCCCCCCCCCCCCCCCCCCCCCCCCCCCCCCCCCCCCCCCCCCCCCCCCCACCCCCCCCCCCCCCCCCGCCCCCCACCAACTCCCTGCGGTTACTTTTACCGCCCACCTCTGGAGTACAAAACGTAACCCCTTCCCACTTCCCCCACCGCCCTGCCACCTGTAGCCACAACGCACTACACTTAGCAACACACTCTTAAAATCCTGAACAGGGAACAAGCTGCCATTAACATAACGCCACTTACCCCACGTAACACCTATATCTATAGCGACCCGTACGGTATTACCTCCATGTCACCTTATGGCCACTGC